AAAGGCTCAGGCATGCTTATTTTCCATGGCACTTTGTTTTCCTTTGTTTACTGAGCAGATACTTGATACATGAGCCTGATTGTACTGCTCTGAGGAGTGGCGCTAAAAGCAGACTCATTTTTAATATATAACTAACCTTTGGCTCATAAAGACTATTTAATCACACACCGAAGAGCTTTATTAATATGCTGCAAACACACTCTGATCAACTTATGTTAATGCTAAATACATAGAAATGGAGATTTGAAGGGATTAATTGTAAATTCAGGAGAATGTACTTTGCAATTACACAATAATCAACGTATATTTATAAATACATTATTTGTTTTCTACTAAATAGTATTAAATCACTGTACTGTTAACTCTAAACAGATAGGAATGGAGATAAACTGCATAATGCAAGGTAAATGCAAGTATCAGCATGCATATTTTGAAAGTAGTCTTCACTTCTTTGTTAGGTTCCTGGAACACAATGGTTAAAAAAACATCTTATGTGAGCGTTCACCTGTTGTGGTTTGTTCTCCAGGCCCCACCACCACTGAGGACTGTACCAGGAGACAAAAGCCAGGTTCTCAGCACAGAAAGCTACAGCCCAGAACAGCAGCAGGACGGCACTGTGTCCTCCTGTCCGATCCGACACCAGGACCCTGCGCCTCTCCACCCTGAGTAGAGCCATAGCCCAGGCCCATCCCAGGATGGAAAAGCAGCCGTACAGCACCACATACCCTGGAAGCTCATCTGCACTCGTGGCTCTCCAAATCATTCCACCCAGAAACTTGATGATCAGGAAGACGTGGAGGACCTGCTGAAAACCATAGAGGCAGGAGCGAGGAATGAACTTGCGTTCCATTTGCGTGCCATACTTTTGGTAACATATGCAGTGGATGGTGCCAAGGAGGAAGGAGAGGGAGAGCAGGATGGTGGGGACCAGTGTGAAGTAGAAGCAGGGGGCGATGCCTTCATCCACCCAGGTTATGGAGATGGAGGAATTTGCTGCACAGTAGCTCTGCACAAACACCATGGCTGCAGCTAGGAGAGAGAAATCATTTTAAAATCATAGCAGCAAATCCTAACAAAGACATCCCGTCTGTACGAGGTGTTTTATAGTATACCTAGAAAGAGGAACTGCTTTGGCTCTGTTACATTAGGCACTGATTTATGCGATAGTAGTAAATAAATACCGGCATACAGCTAAAATGTGTGATAAATACTGTAGGCAGATAAAGAACAAATAGTGTAAGCAGTTATATTTATTACCTTATAAACTTATAACTATTAGACTACATTTCAGAGGGTCTAGAGATAAAACAGTCGGCTGTTGTTGTTAGTTTTTAACATTACCTTTCCCAGGCAGGCAGCTGTGAAGTCCAAACACTGTACACAGTCCACTTGTTAGTAACCGAGGCTACTCCAGGGAGACGAGCGAGTCCTCCGA